TTATATTATATTATATTACTTCAACTCATGCAGTGACGTCAAGGGGGTGGAGATTTTCTAGGGGATGGCGTTTGGTTGTTAGTTCCTTGGTGACAATCGTGACATAGTATAATGTGCATGTGCCTTTTACCTCTGTGGCCCAGGTATAAGAGATGATCCTTACTGGGTCTCTATGTAGAACAGTTTAGGACAGATAGAGCTATATCCAGTATAAATTAAGTTAGTTTGGTTTATGTTTCCTCCTGTAGTAACACTGCATGCATCAATACGATGACCCTAGCTAACTGGATGGATCTCTATAAAGAACAGTTTAAACTGATAGTTTACCTGTGACAATAATGTTTGTAGGACTTGCAGTGCTGCATCCCCAACGTGTATACGCTCCGCCACTGCATCCAATGCTGCCTTTCTTGTGTACCATTTTCATGGCAATAATGAAAGTGTTTGGCCCGGTGTATGCGAACTGCTTATAATGGTTGTTCCTGGCTCCAACGCATTGATCAGAGGCAATCTTCCTCCAGAATCCTAAGGAAGTACACGAAACGCACATTATGTTGTTTTTTTGTTTTGGTTTGTGGAAAACGTCTTTCGATGCATAAACCCGAATCTCTATACCAATGCCAACACATTTCATTAAAGCAGTTAAGGCAAAGGAAATCACTACCGTGTCAGTGGTTTTATATGTGATAAAGCTTTGATTTAGCTTTGATTTTCTCGGCTTAGACAATGTTTATTTTTAAAATTACTTCACCAATGAACTCATCGGATGAGTCGTTTTCTAAGCCATTTGAAAAACTCGCAGTCCGTGCTATATCAGCTATAAAACACTCGAGCTGCGCTCTCGTGTTTTATTTAACAAATATAAAACATTTTCCTTGTTGATATACAGTTATATCAACACGAGTCGAATTGGGAAAACGAGAAATTGTGTGGAAACACGACGCCCGAAGGGCGGAGTGTTTTCATACAATTTCGAGTTTTCCCAACTTCCACGAGTGTTGATATAACTATATATCAATACGGAAAAAATGTTTTATATTTTTTTATGATATAGCAATGTCAAAAGCCCGAAGAATAAGAAAAATTTCCTTGTTTAGAAGCGGTGGAAAATTTCCCGTGTTGACATGGAGTTATATCAACACGGCTCTTAGCCAATCAGCGTTCAGAATTTACAAATGCTATATTATAAATATCCGATAAAACACCCCTATATGCTTGTGTTTTAAATAGTAGGCCGACATATTATACCTCAACTTTAAATTGTCCGATCGAAAAGCCTGGGGTACAAATGTCGTGACGCTGCGATTTCTTAATTCTACCCAATTTTATGATTACGCATGAGACGTAATATCTGCGGCGGGATATTATATATAAAAGCAACCTTAAATAGTTTCTATAATAAATGAAATTAAATGCATGGTTTATACAGGGAAACTAGGCCGGTGATTAACTGTGCTTTATGTTGTAACTGATTCCTACATCGATATCTTTCATAAAACTAGTTTACATGGTTTATTATTAGCATGACATAATTACTGGATGCTGATTGGATGAGAGGAGTACAATTATTTCATTAATTGTACTGCAGTACAATTAATGATTTTCCCAAAACAAACAAAATGGCCTAAAGGTATTTTAAACATGAAAATACGAACAAAAGCACCAAAATTTGCTTTAACAAAAAAACTAAATGAAAATACGGACAAAAGCACCAAATTTTGGTTGAAAGTCTGGCAGGACTGGGCTTTGGCGGGAGAATACATGAAGTATCCAATTTTTCATGCTAATAATAAACAAGTAATCATGCGATGTTGCTCGTACAATTATGAATTAATAGTACTCGTGATGTTTGGAAATTTGCCAAATTGGACTCGCACCGGCGGCTCGTCCAATTTTGGCACAATTTCCAAACATCACTCGTACTATTAATCCCTAATTGTACGAGCAACATCGCATGATTACCTATACTAATTAAAACAGTTAAAAAGCTCCAGGTTATCAACTCGGATGTTTTCCCCAGATAAGTGATCAAAGCTAAAAAAACAATACAATGAGTGGCAAAGCTGGCTGACAGTGGCTGTAATATTTTTTGACACTGAAACAGTTCGGTTTCGGTGACATATAAGAACCTAGACTTTCCAAGTTAGCTTAAACAGGTTATTATGTAAATGGTGCTTACCAGGAAATTAGGCTAAACAGGTTCTTAAATAGGTTCTTATTTTCTTAAGACTCATTTAGGGAGGTATGGTATATATCTAAAAAATGACAGTAATCGCACCATACCACCTATGCACTTTAAAGCTACGCTGATTGTAACCTATGACTTAATTGTCAGACAGGCGTTGTGAAAACCTGGAATGCCGGAATATCACGGAATATGCCGGAATATCACGGAATATGCCGGAATATCACGACATTTTACCGGAATATACCGGAACATCACGATATTTTCCGATGGTAGTCACGCGATTGTTTATAAACATAGACGTCTGACAACATATTTTATTACAAAAGTGATGGATCTTTCTTATAAAATTGGCCATTTTATAGCACCAAGCACTTATCCAAACTCCGCATGCCAAAACATAAGTGATAAGCCTATTGCCAGCGACATTTGCTCAAACGAGTTTGCGCAAGCGCACTTGCCACTTGGTGTCATTTTACTTGCGTAAATCATAATATCATATATTACTGAACGCCATATGGCGACTGTCTCGAAGCGATGTCGACCAGAGAAAGTCTTTTACAAAATCGTACATCCCAAACATGAGTAAGAACGCTGTTGAACTATGTATATTGTACATAATAAAGTCGTTGTTCATATAAAGTATAAATATCCAAGCCTTAATGGTATAAATAAAGTAAAATAGTTGAATGCTTCTCGACGTTTAGAGCAAAGCTAAAGGCCCTTATAGTAGCTTTAATGCTTTAATGAAATACTCCTAAAACAGTATTATACTACACTAGGAGGAGTTATATATACTGAAAAACTAGATAATATTTATTTACAAGAAATTAGTCTTCATAATCACTGTATGACACATATATTAGGCGGTGATTATAGAATGATGTTGTTATATGTTATTAACAACAACAATGGCAAAAGCGACAAACGACAATAACAACAACGACAACAACTCTAAGACTACAAAACGAACATATAGTACAATACAAAACGTTTGCAAACACTTGCCGGTTTATACAGACTTCAACGAAAGGATTTCTATACGATTGCTCATGTGAATCATATCCTTGTTCCTTCTCATTTTTTCTTCGTACGCTGCATCAACCGGCAGCTAAAACCTGATAAACGCTGAAGCCGAGATCATTGTCTAACCTTTTCAATCGCAAAGTGACGGGGTCTAAATTGCGTCAAAATTTAACATTTTTCCACCAAAATGACCGCAAGGGCCCAGGCTTTGTGAATCTGCGTGTACATTTTAACA